TGAGTCAACAACATATTGCTAGGACTTATTATCATAAATTTAAAAATCTAGCATATACTGGAGCTCATCCATACTGCTGCCACCTTTACTCTTTCTTGGTCAATGGAAATCTTTCTTGAAACAACTTCTGTTTGTAGTCTAAAAACTTCACTTCCAAATAGTACCCTTCTCTTCTGTCAATTTCTAAAACATTTAAAACCTATGATCTCACATATTCCGTGATGAACATTAGAAACTTCTCATTCTCAAAGCTTGTGAAAATTTGAACCCAATTCTTGCATGGAAGGCCAATTCGGACAGACGAAGCATTTATAACCTAAATTGAGCAAGCTACATGCTATGAATAGGAACAGACACCTCACTTCAATAAAAAATAAGGTATTCTACATAAATGAAAAGAGCTTAAAATGCAGTAAGAATATAATCATTACCCTGATGGCATCGTTCAAGTATTCATTTTTTCCTCGTCTAATAAATATAATAAATTTAAGATNTGAAAACCAGTAGTTGGGTAAGGGCGTATAAATTATCTCGAGGGGAAGGTGTTACGGCACCCCCCAAGATCCACTAGTGTGGTTCCCGGCCATGTTACAATTGTGACTTCACTTAACAAGTAAGCAAATAAGGGTTCAAATAGAGGGAGTTTTCACATAATATTGCAAGTAAAATGGAAATTCTAGGAGAGATAAAGAGGGCAGAAATTTCAAGGTAACCACCAAGTACCTGACATCAGTGGCTATGCAGGAATTTTTTGTAAGCGGTGGCACATTTAAAGAAGTAAGAAAATGATCTTTTCAAAACCGCGACGCAATTTAACATTTAAATTTCTTTGAGGAAAATTGCGGATTCAAGCTTGAAAATGATCCTCCTTTTAGGATAGGCGCTTCTTATTGCACCATGGTCATTTAAGGAATTTAAATCAACTCTTTCATTTTGCGATGTTGTTCCGACTCATTGGCTTGGAAGGTGTTTTAGTAGAATCTCTATTAAATTTAAGCAGATTACAAATTAAAATGTCCATTTGAGAACTCCTAAATAGTACTATATAGTTCTATTTATAAAGTAAAAACAACTTTAAAAATTTCTAACTACTAAAAAGTACAAGAAAGAACGAAGGAAAAGGTAGCAAATCACTTACTACAACGGAAGAAGCAGTTGCAAACTGAAGAGGAGGATGGATTGGTTAGCAACTTGTGTTAGAAGGTTTATAACTTCATTTACCCTACGGAAGTGGATGAGCCATAATCTTCTAAATAAATGGGGCTATAATTAAAAAAGATTTCAGTATGATCGATCCCTCAACCTAGCCAAAATAGTTCAGGCACCTAACCAACTAACCAAGGCAAGTTTAACATTAAGCAGTGTCACTTGTTTATTAATTTTGTATTTATGCCATTTTCAAGATCACTTTTATTGATATATTAGTAAAACAATTCGACGAAGCGATACCACGTGACATTGCTTGGGCCTTGGTGCATCCGCCCTTGCATGACACCTCCCAGCTCCCACCAACACAGGTACCAGATGCAAATCTAGCCGCCAAGGCTTATTCGGAATGGAAGAAAACAACTAGCATTTTCTTGGGATTCGAACCCTGATCTCCAACATTTTCACCCATCTCATTGACTATTATGCCACACCATTGGATGCAATAAATTTATGATGTTGTTATGCCCAATAACGAATCTTACCTATTAGATTCACCCAAAGTTTGAATACAATGCCAATCATCACCGAGATTCTCTATCCATACCTGCATTTCAAGCACGGCTAAATATTAGATATTGTTACTTATAAATGGAAGCAGGGGCAGATGCACCTTCAATGAAGCAGGGGCACGCGACACCGCTTCGTTGGAAAATTTTATTAAGTATATGTATCGATACTATGAGGAACAGATAAGTAGGAGAAATGACACCATTTGACAAAAATTCTCTCTTGGTGCGCTGATTGTGTGTTTGATTTTGTTCTAAGAGGTCAATGTTCAAACCTCAACTAGCACATTTTTGTAAATATTTGAGAGAGCCTTTATGGATAAAAATTGTGATGAAGTAGAATTGAACTTGGGACCTTTTATAACTTAAAAATCAACAAAACCAATAGATTAAGGCTATTTCTAGTTTAGAAATATGATAATTAAAGTTATTATCCCGTTCTTTTATAAATTCGACACTGCTTATAAAAATTACTGTGTACGCCCGTGAATGGAAGAGAAACAACCACTAGTATGCCTTATATGTAACAGGGGTATGAAAAACATGCTAGAATCTCTCTAAACTAGAACAGAGAGACAGAGAGAGAAAGGAGGGACGCTAAGTTCAACTCAAATATACCTTAATAGTGTTATCATAACTACATGATAACAACATATCCATGTTAGGACTCCATTGAACCATCTTAACATCTTGTGTGTGCCCTTGTAACACTGAAACACAGTCAAATTCATTTCCAGGCAACACTTCCCATATCCAAACCGACTTATCTCGTCCACACGTCGCGAGTAGTGAGCCTTCACGATTCCAGGAAACACTTTTCACTTCATTGTCATGACCCTGGACATTACCCGCATAAGAAAAAGAAGGCAGACAGGAGTTTAGTAGATTTATAACTCATTAAAGAAAATAAAAAGGCCAAGTACAAAAGATTGATGTAATTACAATCACAAAGCAATATAAGCTAAATTAAATGATTCCACTTAGCACAGCTGCCCAGGTAACAAATTCCCTTATTTTACTGACAGATTTATGAAGTTTTTGTTGTGCTATGCACAGATATAAACAGACAGAAGATGCAACTTTTGCCTACTTTAACACTAGTTTTTGTCAGAGCTGGGGTAATGAATATGAACTGAAATTAATATGATAGAGAGATACCAAAAGGTAATTGTACCTCCAAAGTGGAAACACACTCAAAGTCAACCCCAACATTTTCCCAAATAGCAGTGGTGGCATCAAAGCTAGCTGTTGCCAAATGTTTGCCTGACGGTGACCATTCACATGATCTAACAGTCCGTGTATGTGTTTCCTCCAAAACAGCCTGCAAAATTTCCTCCAAATAGTCATTATAGCTCCCTTTTTTTAATTTTACTAGAATAGTCATTATAGCTAGAGGATGAAGGTCACTTTATTTCCTTGAGGATGGAAAGAGTGCTACAGAAGGATGAAAGAAGGAAAACAGAAAAAAGGTACACATCGTGTTTGGCTGCATAACCCCGTGTATGATTTCCAAAAATTTAATTAACTATCAGAAGTAAATAATAAACTCGGCCTATGCGATCTTGCTCGCATTGTCAGTCCAAGACCGAATAAAAGAGGGTTGCAGTAGGCTACAGCCAGCATAAAACTAGCCAATTCCATGATCAATCCTCACACTACAGTTTAAATGGAGTAAAGTGGGTTAGTGAGTATTCATATGGCCGACCCCCACTTGTTTGAGACTGCGGTATAGTTGTTGTATCAAAAGTAATAATAACTCTTAAAAAGAGAAACTAACCAGATCTCAAAATCAACGGGCTCAAAAGTAACTCTGTAGTCAATATAGTTCCAACTAGAGGCGGACCCAAGATTCGGCTGGGCACCATGACATTCAATATAAATTTATCACTGCTCATAAAGATTGGTAGCGAGGCCTATGCTAATATCTTACTATCTTGAAGACATTTACAAGTATACATACAGTTTTTGTCGAAGTTCCGGATGCCCGTGACCCCTCTACGTATAGTGTGCGTCCGCCTCTGGTTCCAGCGCATTGACTTCTTCCCGTGTAAATAATTAATTTGCAATAATTCATAATTTTGTTTTTCTTAGACAGAACTCATACTTTGGATTCTAATTGCAACTCTTTAGTGTATCCAGCTGATCATAGTGCAGATTGTCCAATACTTCTTTTAATTTCTTTCACTTTGATAAAGTAATAGTTTTTCGAGGAATATCGATCAGAAAAAGATTGGTCCGCTCCGAAAAGCTGAGTTTTTCGGTTCGCCCCCCCCCCCCCC